ACCCTAAAAAATCTTTTGACCCCTAAAACCCTCAAAACTAAACCCTAATACAACATAGTTAACCCAAACATAAATGATATAATGAATAAATAATTTTAAAAAAGTGGCACTTGAAAAGTGGCATTTTTTGAAATTTCTCTATTAAAATTGATGAGTCAACCTATTTACTTATTTAATCCCGCGCTTGCCGCAGGATCAAAATCTAGTTTTCTAAATAAAGCAAAAACATTAAAGAAATTTACAGTGTCATGATTATTAAATTCAAAATTGTGTATAAAAAATTAAGGGAAAACGGTCATTTTAATATTGAACTGTTCGATTTACGTCAAAACAAATACCAACTTCTTAATGAGTCATAAAACACATAAACTTATGTTGACTCGGCCAAATTAGGTTTAAAATTAGTCAACTATACACTGGAGCCGGGTCCGAATACATGGAGAGACGAGACCCTACGAGGTCGTAGCCTGAGTCCAACAACTTGTTAGGGCACGAGATCCCTGAACACGAGATTGCGATAACCTAAACCCGGAGACCAGACGGGTAGCACGAGAACTCTTGTGAAGCTTGCGATAATCTAAGTTCGGAGACCTGACAGGTTAGTATGAGAACTCTCATGGAGACCTATGGCCTGAGTCAACCGACTTGTCCTCTCTGAGACTGATGAGAAGTTCTCATCATTTTGTGGGGTAGACTGGAGGCGAACCTACTCCTTAGGGTCGAGCTGCATTAGAGCGATATCCGAGCATGGCCTTTCGGGGAGACTAGGCCACTGATCATGACAATTATGATTCTCTTTTCTATCCTATCAAAAATCCAGCCGTCTCTTTCTTCTTTTTTATTTAAAAAACACATAATTGATTATGCAATTGTTAGGCGCATCCAATGTTGCCAACACCTTATGATTACGTCTAACGTCCCATAAGTATTTAGCGGTAAAGTGAAAAGAAACTAGCGATCCCAAACAGAGTGATGATGTTACTCACGCTACAACCTTGGAGGGTCTCGATTCTCCATGTCTCCGGACCCGGGCTCCGATCTATAGTTGACTAATATTATACCTATTTTGGCCGAGTCAACATAAGTTTGTGTATTTTATGACTCATTAAGAAGTTGGTATTTGTTTTGACGCAAAACGGAGAATTTGGTATTTATATGACCATTTTTCCTAATCTCAAAACGAAGTCGTTTTTGAGATTTAACGGTTACAGTAAACGGGGTTAACACTTTTTAAATAGTTGTTAAAGTTGACTAATTTTATACCTAATTAGGCCGAGTCAACACAAGTTTGTGCTTTTTATAACTCATTAACAAGTTGGTATTTGTTTTGGCGCAAAACGGATAGTTCGGTATTAAAATGACCATTTTCCAAAAAAAATTAACGCAAGTGTTATACATATTTGTAGATGCATCAAAGATGGCAACTAAGGATCCAAAGAGACGTTTCCCAAGAGGCAAAAGACATGAGAGAAACGCGGTGCACGAAGTGATAAGACAGGTGAAACAGTGTTCTCTGTTACAATACAGTGAATGGACTGCCGCTCCGAAGCAAGACTCCTTTTATTATATTGGTAATTAAAAAACCAATATAAGAGAGGATTTGGGCGTTTCAAAAGGTGTTCTTCTTTTACGTAAAAACAAAAGAAAAACCAGAGAGTGAGTGAGGTTACTTTTTGAAGAACTCAAGAACGAGTGAGTGATTTAATGTTGAGTGTTATCTATCTCTTTTGGGTAGATTAGAAACTGTTGTGGAACACGAAGAACACGAATCTTCGTGAGTAAGGTTTCGTGAGTTCTTGGGTAGACTAGGGTGAGAGGGTTCAACTCATCAGCATATGATTGTGTAATATGTTCTTCTTGCAACAGGACTTGCATATAGCAGTGCTATGTTTGTATTAATGAAAATGTTTTAACTGTGTCTTAAATACTTCCTGTTGATTACAGTATCTGTGTTTTCTCATTGGGTTCTACTACATTTTCAATATTTTTGTTAAGTAATCTTTGGAGAAAATAACATTTTCTTATCAACCATAACACAATTTTATTCTTAACTTTTTGATACCATTTTAATTACAAAACTTGGTTTAATAAATTAAAATATATGTTATATATGATTAAAGCTTGTGAATTTTATTGATTTAAAATAAGTATACAAAGATTCTGGAAATAAGATTTTAAAGATTACAAAATTAATACTTAAATATTTTATGAAAGCTTTTGGAGGGTTTAGAGACAGAGAGGCGTATGCAAAATCGCTCGTGTATTTCACTAACCCCATTGTAGAGAAGTTGAGCGAATATTTCATTATTGGAGAATTGAATGATGTCTTCTTGCACTTTCTCGTGTTTAATCTCGATTGAAAAATGTCTTGTCTTGATATGATGCTGAGTCAAGGTTGTTTAATCCTTTTTGTTGTGAAGTTTTGATTGGTGTCGACATTTTTAGGTGGGTTTCGTCTGTCTGTCCGCACGTCTTTATCTTTTAGAAGATTTCTTGATATTTTGTGAGTACATCGTATACAATATGTTATTTTGT